GGCGTGGGAGAAGCGGGGCGGCATTATCGGAGATGTGCGTCCCCCCCATTAGGAGTGCGGATATGGAGGATGGAAGGAAGAAGCCGCTTATTACAGCGCACAGAGGCTGATAAGGTTCAGAGCCGCTATTGAAGCGTATCTTGTTAACGGAAGGCTAGAACAATTAGGGATGTAATCCTTTCTGAGCCGGGGAGCCGTCCCTGACGGCTTCAAATCAATAGCTTCCCTGCGAGTCAGGCAATTAACGGCGCTGGGCCTCGCAGCGCTGCAACCTCCCGCTTTTAAAGAGAGGCAACAGTGTGATCATTGTAATTAACTGCTGGCATCCTGCTCGGACCGGCTGAATAAAATTAATTGGGATTAGAGTCAAGGCGTCCTGGTGTAGGCGCCGTCACCTTTTGTTGCGCGCACACCGCCTTCCTGCCCCGCGCCGAATGCCAGTCTATCTGCCAGACCTGCAGAAGGTGTGCAATTAAACAGCTCGGCACCGGCCTCGCTCCAAGTGCGGGGTGACCTTTCCCGCGGCGCAGGCTCATAGCGGAAGAATGACCGGGGGGGGGGGCGGGCAGCTTGTATTTTCACGACTCTTCAGATATAAAAAGGATAACCTTGTTGTGTGCGACTCCTACCACCCCGATCACCTTCTACCCCAAAAATGTCAAGAGGCGACGCCTCTTCCATCTCCACTGCGAATGGCAACGCTGTGCTGTTACAATGTGATAAACGAGGAGAAGATGGAGAGCGAGAAAAGAATGCGGCGGCAGAACTGGAGACAGTTACAGGTGCGAGGTGACCGGCTTGAAAACCGCATGACACACGAGGTTCCGTATGAATGTTACAGCAGACTGATCACTGGGGGAGGGGAGGAAGCGCTTCCTTCTGCAGGCAGCAGACTGATGACATCATCTGAGCCAAGGCAAAGACATTGACTGGAGCTCAATGATGGATTTAATGGCTGGGAAGGGGGGGGGGATCTGAACTTAATCTGCTGCAGGTTCACTTACAGGTCTCAATCTCATCCCCCACCATGTGACTGGGACACAAGGAGAACAGATTGATGAGCTCATCTCTCCGTCATTGAACTCTCTGCTGCAATCGGCATGCTTCTTGCACTGCAAGACACACACACAATTGAATCCTGGTGCTGCTTCTCCTTCCCCTTCCGGAGCTCTGTTGTATGGGGGACTGCATGAGGCTGATACCAAGTGAGAATGAAACTGTCACAGGTCGGCTCAGTAGATCGGGAGGCGAGCGAACACATACCGGTGCTCGTTCACTTCTATATCCTGTGCCGGCAGAGAGCCGGGACTGGATTCCCCCCTCCCCGCTCCTATCCTCCAGCGCTGACTGGCGGAACGGACGGGGGAGGGGGCGGGTACAGCTGGCTCTGCCTCTAGATAGGCAGAGCCAGCTGTCAGTCACGCAGCTGGGCGGATCCCGGCACAATTGTCGGGATCCTTCGCGGCTGCGGCGTCTCAGTATAAAGCTTGCGGTATACTGAGCTTTGGGTGACGGGAGGACCCTGGTTTGTGTTCTCCCGTTACCCTTAGGAGAACTATGGGGAAAAGCCCTGACCCCATAGTTTGGATGTACTTCTGATACCAGAGCTGCATTAATTAGCATCTTATCTGCCCGGAGTTTAGGGTTAAACCTTAAAAAAATTAAGAATTATAAATTTGCAGAAAGCGATGATATAGATATTATATTCGCAGCATGCGTCCTGATAAGGCAGCGAGCACATGGGGTGAAGGCGCAGGGCTGCAGACGAGCTGGGTATCGGCATCTTCTGGTTCAGTGCGGAGGAATAGGCAGAATGAACTTCTTAACGGGGAACATTAAAAAGGCTTTTCCAGCACCTTCTCGCCCCAACCCCC